TGAGCGAGCAAAGTTTCCCAGACTTGAAAATATTCGTAATAACACTTTGTCATTTTCAGGCAAACGGCCTCGCTGGCCATAGCGCTGTTGGATGATGAGAATAGCCAGGCTGAGGGCAGCATGGAGGGCGCTGTCGGCGGTGCTGTTTATGGCAACATCATTGCTGCCGCAGCGGCACCACCAACAGCGGCGCTGCAACAGCAGCAGCAGCAACAGCAACAGCAGCCAGCTAATCATCCGCACTATGAGAACATCTATGCGCCAATTGGACAGCCTAGCAACAACAACAATAATAACCAGCCAGTTGTTGTGGCCAATGTCAATGCCAATGCCCCTGCAAATGTTGAGGAAGCAGCTCAGCAGCCACAGCAGCAGCAGCAACAACAACAACAACAACAACAGCCAGCAGCAAGTGAAGCCAATGCCAACAACAATCAGCCACAAGCCCAGCAGCAACAACAACAACAGCAGCAACAGCAAGCGCCAACACCACAACAGCAACAACAACAACAACAAGCGCGCATGCTGCCCATGAACAATTATCGCAATGATTTATACGATCGCTCCGCATCCACAGCGGCTGCCTACGATGTCCCCAGAGCGGTGCGCTCCAGCTTGGGCTATCGTCGAAATTTTCGCATTGATATGCAAAATGGTAAGTTAACTAGCCAGAAGTGTTTTGTACAAGGTCTAAATCATTCATAAGCACGGGAATATAATTAAGACTTTATATAAAATACGTAAGAAAATACAGAAAAAATGCATGTAATTTTTCTTAAGAAATTTAAGCAATTGATTTGATTATATATATATCTGTCTATGGGTGTACACTTTATATAAGAATAATACATGGATACATATTTGTGATAATAGAAAGAATTTGAGTTGATTTCATTGTTTACGTTTGTCTCTATTGAAGAATGATGGTGAGAATGTAAAAAATATAAATAACATGGTCGAAAATATTGATCAGCATTATGTTTACGCATCATTTATGCTTACAACTTTTTAGAATATGATGAAAATTAATATTATTTTAATTGGAGAAATTAAAAAAAAAAATAAAAAAAAAATATATATATATAATAAAAATAAAATAATAATAAAATAATATATATAGAATACCTTTGAAATGTAAAATATATATAAATATTCATAAAATTATTTTTATGTGATTGTATGTAGAAAGAACTTGAGTTGCTTACTTACGTCTGTCTCTGTTTTTAAAATAGTAATCACTTTTATTGAAGAATGCTCATGAAAGCGTAGAAAATGTAAATATTTTTGATTAGTACGTTGAGTTGTTGCCGTTATGTCTGTGTATTCGCATTCTTTGACTAATTTAATTTACATTCATTTCTTCACAATATTCACATAGACGAATAATTAGATCCAGAAAGGTCAAAAGTTTTGATATGAAAAACTACTAAATTCTTACGAGTATAAAAGTAATGAAATTAGATGTGATTATTTTTTCAATATATTAGATATTCTGTACTATATTTATATATTTTAGATATTATATACTATATTCAAACCATCCATTATACTATGTATAGAAATGTTTGTGGTTTAGTCCATCAAAGCTCTGCCTCTTTTTCGGTGATACCAAATACTTTTTTATTAAGTAATCAATTTATGTCCTCAAAATTGATACATGAGCTAAATATTAATAGTTTTTAATGTAAGTAATTCTATATATGGTATGCACACTGTGCAAGCACCTCTATTAACACCCCCTCTCTGTCTCATTTACAGGCAATCGGTATGGCAGCGGCCTGCGCTGTGCTCCATTGTATTCAAGCAATCGTTCAAATTGTCAGCGACAGCGCAGCTTCGACGATACTGAATCAACGGATGGCTATAATCTACCCTATGCAGCAGCAGGCACCATGCGCTATGAGAACATTTACGAGCAGATACGCGATGAGCCGCTCTATCGCACCACAGCTGCCGCGGCTGCAAGTCGTGTGCCCCTCTACACACGCCTGGATGTGCTGGGCCATGGCATCGGACGCATCGAACGGCACCTGAGCTCCTCCTGCGGCAATATCGACCACTACAATTTGGGCGGACACTACGCAGTGCTGGGACACTCGCACTTCGGCACCGTCGGCCACATTCGTCTGAATGCGAATGGCGGTGCAGCAGCGCCCACGGCAAATGCCACCTGCACTGTTCCCAATTGCCAGGGCTATGTGGGCGCCGGTGGTGTTGGTGGTGCTGCTGCTGCTGCCGCCGCTGCAGCTGCCGCAGCCGCCAGCATGGCCGACTACAGCAATGTCAAGGTGCCCGTCAAGAACAGCGCCTCATCCTTCTTCAGCTGCCTGCATGGCGAGAATTCACAGAGCATGACCAATATATACAAGACGACGGCTGCTGCTGTTGCTGCTGCGCATCACTGTTCGCCGCTGACGCCGAATGTGTCCATGGAGCGTGCAGCACGCTCTGCTTCGGCTGGTCCGGCTACGGCAGTAATCGCAGCGGGAGCCGCAGCAGCCTCAGCGCCTGCTGAGGAGCAACAGTTAAATGTGGACGCAGCATGCAGCTCAACGGCTACGATGCGACCCACAGGCGCTATACCAAAGGTCAAATCTGCAAGCAAAGCGGCCAAGGAGTCCAGCACTGGAGCAGCTGCCGGCAATGCCGACAAAACAGCAACAGGTGCAGCGTCCAAGAAAACAAACGCAGCACCAGCAGCTGCAGCAGCGACGGCAGCGCGTTCAAGCAGCTCTTCGGATTCCGGCAACAATACCTTGAACCGCATATCCAAGTCCAGTCTTCAGTGGCTGCTGGTCAACAAGTGGCTGCCTCTGTGGATTGGCCAGGGACCCGAATGCAAAGTGAGCCTTTATATACAACTCCAACAACTAAATTTGCCTAATCTTCTGCCTTCTACAGCAGGTGATTGACTTTAATTTTATGTTCTCGCGCGATTGCGTCAATTGCGACACCGCCTCGGTGGCCTCGCAAATGTCCAATCCGTATGGCACGCCGCGTCTGGGCCTGGGCACACTGCCCCAGGACATGATGCGCTATCAGGGCAGCAGTGCAAGCATGCGACGCGATGCAACGAATCCAACAGCTCGCCCGCTGCACAGCAACCTGAGCCGGCTGCGCTGTGGCGCCGACAAGCGGCCAAATCGCACAGCTGAGACGAGCAGCAGCTATCGCCATGAGGATCCTTCGTATGAGAACGTGCACGTGCAGTGGCAGAATGGCTTCGAGTTTGGACGCTCGCGCGAATACGACGGCAACTACAATCAGCAGCGGCCGCTGTTGCAACGCGCACGCTCCGAGAGTCCCACGTTCAGCAATCAGCAGCGACGCATGCAGCGCGCCGCAGCTCAGGCACAGGCTCAAGCACAATCCCACAATGCACAACACTCGGGCAAGCTTGCTGATCCCTTCAAAGGCTACGAACTGAATGTGGACAACAATAGCTTTAAGCCCAAGCAGCCAACGGCGATGGAGATGTGCGATGAGCTGGAAGGCGCGGTGGGCGGAGCGGCAGCCGAATCGGATGCCGAGCAGACGTTGGAAAACCTAAATGCGAGTGATAACGAGACTGAAACGACGACAACAACAACAACATCAGCATCAACAACAACAGCAATGCCAGCAGCTGCAGCAACAGCAACACCAACAGCAACAAATAATGCAAATGCCGCTACGTCTAACGATGCAAACGACTAAAATTTTTACTATAGAAAAAAAAAATAGTACAGCTGAAAAATTAACGATTTTATTTGAATTATTTTGTATGTTTTCCTTTTAAATAATTTTCGTTAATCATTTGTCTCCACATTTAACACAATTAGATCTCACAAACAAAAATCGCAAATTGGCAAAACAAAAATACGAAAATCAAAAAAAAAAAAAAAAAAAAAAAAAGAAAAGTTAAATATTAAGTAAAGAAGAAAAACCCCAACCTACTTTTAATGTAGAATTTGATACAATGTGATTCGAGACGATTGCGCATAATCTGCCATTGCTCGAATATCTAGCATATTCACTAGACTTTTAAATATATGTATGAATGTTTCTAGCTGTCTCTCTCACACGCTCTCTCTCTCTCTAACTTTGCTCACGAAGGAGTTAAAGCCATCTAAGAGTAGTTGCAACATCAATATACAAAACAATGAAATGAAGAGATGCAAAATGCAATACAAAAGCGCCATATCATGCTAATATTATATATGCATTACAATATATATAAATCAATGCACTTAGGTACATACAGCATACATATACATTATATTATACATTTAGAATTAGAAGCAATACGCATTTTATATTTAATTTTGAAATGTTCCAAATACGAATTCGAATTGTTGTGTTATATTTCGATGGCACGGCAAATGAGTCCACTGCCCACAAAACCACACCCATATACTTTCCAATCGAATATGAATATGAATTATATACAAAAAATGTTACTTTGGGTCGCCTCGCCTTACATTTGTTAACTGCACGCGTTTCGTTTACGTTAAGTTTTAAAAGGACGAAGCACACAATAAGGGAGTAAAAGAAAACCATTAATAACTATCTTTTAGGTCAATTAAAGTAACAGGTATTATTTACAAGCATATATACATAAACATATACAACAACAATAAAAATATATACACAAAAGAAATCCATAAAAAATCATATACATTATTAATGCAGATATATAGATCCTAAGCATACTTACATGTATTGCGTTTAACTAATTCATAATAAAAGATAAAAAATAAGAAATTAAAAAAATAAAAAAAAAAATCAAAATTAGAAAATATATGTAGAAAAATGGTTTATATTGAAAAACAAACTTTGTTTTGTTTTTGGTTTTGCTTTTGTGTTTTTATGGTTTTATTTTAACAAACTATTATAAAATTGCATGTTTTCATTCTCATTGCTTCTTTCTGTTGTTTCATATACACAGATACAGATACATATAATCATAATTATTATTATAAACTAAAAAATACAATATTTGTCAGATATATATATATATATATGTCTATATATATATTCGATATTTTTCACAACTATTGCGCTTGGCTACGACAAATTGGAATTTATTTTTTAGTTTTTCGCTACATTTCCGATAATATTTAAATGTTTTTTTTTTAGCCGATATGTTTTCACTACGTTCACTCTTAAAAAAGCACAAAATACCCAAAGAGCGTCTAATTGCACAAGTATATATATATATATATTTTTTAATATACGTATATATTGAATTTATCTTTTAGTATTCGTATTTTTTTTATATTTTGTATTTTTGTTTAAATTCCGTTTCTAAGTTTTCGTATTTTTTTGTTTAGTTTTGCAATTTGTCGCTACGTAGTTCTACAAGCTTCATTGAAATTGCCGACAAGTTCTCTAGGATTAGGTATATATATATAAAGTTGTTGCCATTCTTGTTTCTTTTATTATTTCTGTTGTAGTATACTTCGTTTCACCGCCTCGTTTTCAATGCTAAACTTAAAATGTACACACACAAAACTAAAAACTAACTAGACACAAAAAATACGTTACAAAAAGTTAGCTGAGAACTATACAAAAACGCTCGCACTGCGTCAACACACCCACATAAATATATATATATGTTAGAGCAAAAAATCCCACTTAGATCAAATGATATATGTATGTATATATATGTTTCAGATTAGCGCAGCACTCAATCCAAATCGAACTCAATCTATTTGGGCAATTCGTAGATTTGGACGGGCAACGCTTTTGGCGTTATTATCTCATCCTCAAAGTCTTCGTCGTCGCCATGGATGGCATAGTCGCCGCCATTGTGCTCGCTCTCGAATTCGTTCGGCACAATCTCCACATCGCTGGGTCGCATGGTGCTCCGTGATCCTCCGCCAGCCTCACCGCCATTTCGATCCGATCTCGTTTTGGTCGATTTGGTAATATGATCGCGCAGCATATGCGAATAGAGTATGTCGTCTATATAGTACATGGTGCCCAGATTATAGACAAAAACCTCGCTCTCCGTAATCTGTGCATTGTTCACGCTCGTATAATTGCTGCCCGGATTGCGTGTGATCTTCAGATGACCCCCGCCAATCGTTTCGAACACCTCATTATCCCTCAAGTCCCGATTGTACAGACGTCCGCGCACAAAGTGATTCAGTAGCATTTTAATTCCACGCTGCGAGGCCTATAAATTGGGCATTAGTATTATTTGTAAGCAAGTATAATTAATGGATTGAGTGAACTTGCCATAACATCATCGGAGAGTCTGTCGAATCCTATCTTCTCGAATGCTTTGTCCTCGGGCACGAAGAACGTATAATTTGCGCCGGAGATATGGGGCGCTATTTCCGCATTGTTCAGATATCTATGGGTAGAGTTGAAAAAATTTGGAATTTAATATAAAATTAAATCAGTTAAATGAAGTAAAATGAAATATTATAATTTATTTTGATATATGCAACTTTATGGCATATATTCTAAATATGTATATTCAAAGCGAAACCGCTTACAGACATACATATGTAAATAAAATAGGTATATTATAGATATAATATCAATTCATTCCTTCAAATCGAATGATCGATTCTCATATTTTAATGACTATAAAACAGCACGATATGAGTTATTAAATCTAGATGGAATTTGTTTTAAGCAATGCTTCAGAGTTGCAATAAATCATATTTTGCTAGTTTACTTAGCTTGCCTCCAAATTATTTATCTTTGCTCTCGAAAACTAATAAATATGTCTTAATTTATCGATATGTATTTTATCATTTAATTCAAATGGTTTCTAAATCAATTCCTTGGCTTAATTACTTCCTAAAATCAAGAGCTCTCAAGCTCATCACTAAATTCTCTACCTACTCCTTGTCGTCGTCCTTTCCCAGCTCAGCGTTAGCTGACTTTTAGTTTTAATTGGTATTCAGGTTTACCTTGTAATTTGCGTGAATCTCGAATCACGTTCCAAGGCCAGAAACGAGTGCGATAGAAATTGTGCGCCGAACCACGGGAATGCCAACAGCGGCGGTGTCTCCTTATCCTTGTGCATCTGTGGCAAGTTTATTAAGCTTTAGCTCATACATCAAAGGTGGGAAGTAGGTGTAAGACTATATGTGTGCGTGTGCGAGTGCGTGTGTGAGTGTGTGTGCGCTTGGCTTACCTGATGCAATTTGGAAACCACAGCCTCGGAGACAAATAACACCTCGGATATAATGAACACCTGATTGCCATTGGATAGCGTATAATCAGACATAATGCTCACATTATTCACAGTGGGCGTGGCTGCGTAGAGGTCAAAGGTTAGTCGCAATGTAAATTTACACCCCCAAAAATTCAGTTAGTGCGCAAAAAATAATTGAAATTCAAGCACTCACGCTGGCCATGGAAGACGACATTCTCGCCACCCATAGTATGGACAACCATTTGGTCCATGTTCTTGACGTCGGAGAGGCGTAGGGGCCGCTGCATGGGCAGGAAATGATTACGCAATACGCTCTCTGTGAACTCCGGCACGCTGAATGGATAGAAGCCCCAATCGATGGGATGCCAGCGCTGAAAGGCATTGTCCGATGGTATAAGCACCGTATAGGCATTATCATCCATAATGCGTGTCAGATTGGATTTCGATAGAAAGTGCTGGAACACTTTTGTGCCCGTTTTCATGTTGGCCAGAAATGACATCAATGGACTCGCCTTTGATTCCTTAATAATGGGCTCCACTTTGGCATGTGCATTCGTTATGTTTGGCTCTTCCAGCGGCTGTGGGTCATTGTAGCGGCTGCAATAGAGTGGAGCATGTGGTGGCATGTTAGCAACTGAGCACAGAAGTTGAGGCCACAAAAACTTTTTTTTTTTTTTTTTTTTTTCTACTGCCTGATAAATTTCGCATGAGTGCACTTTTTGACCGCAAACAAACTGGAATTAGGAGCTGCACTCAGCGAAAATTTGTAAACTTGCTAATTTCCATATATATATATTTTTTTTTAATTATTTAAATTTTATTGAAAAAATATTAGTTTCAAAAATATAATTAATTTAATTAGAGTAATGGTGAAAGTTTTTAAAGATATTAAGTTTAATATTTGAGAAATACTGTTTTTAGTATACAATAATTGAATTGCCTTTTATTTGTAATAAAAATATTAATTAAATTTTTATTAATTTTATTAAATTTAATTTTGACCTATAAAGCAATCATTTTCATATTTATTATTTTATTTATTTTATTATTTTTAAAAACATTTGAAATGATTTCACATATGTAATGTAAAATATTTTAGGGAAAACTATTTTTTATGTTTATTTATTAACATTATTATATTGGGTTTAATTTATTTATTAATCAATTATAAAAATAATTTGTAAAAGCAAAGAAACAAAAAATTAATTTAAAATAAAAAACACACCCATTTCGCTCAGTGTATGGACATGCTGATTGCACAGACTTCGGTTGGTTTACTCACTTATTCGTTTCCTGTATGTTGCGCTTCGAATAGGGCGATTTTCTATCACCCAAATAGCCATCAATTCCAATGACCATCAATTGCTCATTGATACGCAGCTTGTAGAGTATTTGCTGTCCGTTGAGTAGCCAAACATTGTTATGGGACTTTTCCAATTTGCGAAAAACGATTTTATGTCCGTTGCCATTACCATATGACTCCTCCTCCTCTCTGCCATTGGTAAGGGCATTGTAGCTATCAAAGATTTTACCCGGCACCAAATGCTCCAACATGAATTCCTTCAAACGTGGCTTCTCAATGCTGCGCACATCGATTTTGGGTATTATCAATGTAAAAGGTGTGTCTGAAAGAGAGATGGAACGTATGAAATATAGTTTTAGGCACGAGTTTTACTGAACTTGTATCTAGCATAGTCTGTATATCGTACTGAAAACTGGTTAAAAAAATGTTGTATAATTAGATGCCAGCACGTGCGATTTTTATAGCTATGCGGCTGAGCTATGAGCTACAACAGCTAACACTTATCATTATGCATGGCGTAAGTTTGTGAACTTAGCATAATTAGGTAATTATTTCTATATATATACAAAGTTCTATGAACTCTACATCTTATCTATTCCAAATAGCCATATATATAATTGATATGATGGAAAATACCTTACGAATAAAGAAATATATATGTATATCTTATGAATAGGCAATTACCTAAAGGTCCTACCTTTGCAAAATTTTTTGATAAATAATTTTTGAATAGTTTTAAAAGCCTTAGAATAAGTTTTTTTTTTTTTTTTTTTTTTTTTTTTTTTTTTTTTTATTGTTAGTATATTTTATTAAAAAAATATAAATACAAAAAGATACTCCTTAAGGAAAGTTTTTGTCATTATTTGGATAAATAGTTTTTAAACTTTTTAAGCTAAAAAATTTCAAAAATAAATTTTAAAAATTATTAATTTTTTTTTTTTTTTGTATCAATGATTTTTTTTTTATTAATAATATTTAATAATGGGTTTGTTGCTTAATGTATTCATAGTGTTGCTGCCAAGCCTGGGGTGAGTTAACCAGAAGGCTATTGGTAAACATGGCCCAGATCCAGCTATACGTCATGCCCTCAAGGATATGACTGCGATTCAGATTGAATATATCAAAGGAGCTATCTGTCCAGACGTAACATAAAATCCGCTTGTAAAGACAAAACATTTGTAGCTGCAAGAGTGAAACATATAGAAATCTCAAGCAATCAATCGATCGATCAAATATAAATTCATAGTTAACGCACCTGCTGCTGTTTGCTGCCATTGTTTTTGAACCTAAGCAATTCGTTACCAAGTTGTTTCTCCGCTGACTTGATGAATATTGTCTGGTACACAAAGCACATGGGATAGAGTAGGGTAACACATAGGCTATAGAACAGGAGACACAGTCTATGGTGATCATAGAGCAACAAATGCAAACTAATCATGCAGTCGTTGATTTGCTGGCTTAAGGCCACCCACACAAAGGGGCGCAAGAGCACTTCGAAATGATGCCTCAAATGGATCAAATTCACATAGTGTTGCACCTGCTCCTTAGCGATGATATTGCTGCGATGTTTTTGCTGCTGCATGAACTGCAGCTCCTTCTCATAGTAGGCGTGCAGCAGCAGCAAGCCCAAGTGAGCCAAGAGACCCAGGAGAAAGGGCTGCAGAGCCACGAAGAGCACGGAAGACCAACTCAGATAGTTATCTATGGGAGAGTGAGGCGCTACATAGGGTATACGACTAAAGGAATTTCGCTTTATCACCGAGCCACCGACCATGAGCAACTCCAGCAAATAGACCCCAAAGAGCCACCAGTTGATGCGCGGTGCGCAGCCATAGAGCCGACAATATCTTTTATATATTGCCGCAAAGCCGTTTAGAACTCTATCAACGCACTTCAGGCGGTATTTGTAGATATACAATATCAATAAGGTAGCAATCAAATTCTGATACTTGCAGAGCAGGGCACTCGAAAAGTACATCACTACCAGAGCTCTGTCATCTTCAGTATTGTGCGATATGAACATTAGCAGGCGCATCAGAAACCAAGGCAGATACAGAACCCCAGCTAGGAATATCCACGGACGCAGCCAGAGGTAGTGCATCAATGTGATCAGACTCTGCAGCCCCTTGTGGCGCTGGAACTTGCAACTGTGCGGCCTGTACCTGTAGATGTTGCAGCCGAATATTGTGCTCAACAACGCGAGCACGCGCAATGCAACCGTCAGCACGGACATGGTTCAACTGATTCCTGTTGCCCGGTTCGAGTGCGACGCCACGTGCTGACAGTGACAAATGGCCGGCCGGCCGGAAATAATGATGTTTAGCTCATTTCTTTAATAGACCAGACATCAGAAAATGCGGCCAGAACAAGTTCGCAAAAAAATCGATGATAAATTATAGTCAAGAGATGGGAAAAATAGCCGTACGTCGCATTTGGAAAATTCTCTACAGTCATAGAGTTGTGGTGATATTCGGAAGTATATAGAATAGTTGTAAGGAGTTTGAACACTCTGATAAGATATATGATAGTAACTAGTAACTAGACAGGGCCAAGTTGAACCTTATAGAGTCAATAAAAGACACAGCAAAATTTGAATTTGAATTTTGCATCAACGTTAACAGGCTAACAGTTCTTTTCTACTTTCATATTTCATTACATATCCATATAATCTATCTACATGAGCAAGCAAAGGGGACCTGTAGACTATTAAAGAATATTAAGGAAAAATAAAAATCTTTTCGAGGTTATTTAAATAACTTAACTTGAGCTGGACTTTATACTCAATAAATGGTTTTGCAATCACTTGATGATTTATGCAAGCTCTGCAAGTATGAAATGCTTAGCATAAATTGCTTTGTTGAAATGCAGCTCAATTTACAATTCTTTTTGAGCGAATAATTCGATACTCCGATATAAAAAATTAATGGGAATGAAAAAAAAAAGCTGACATAACGGCTTTGGTGAATTCAGGTTCAATAGACGTTCGATGCATTTGTCACTGATTAAGTTTCAGTTGATCGAATGTCTATAATTAGTAGCAGGAAATATTCTTAGAAAACTTTTCCTTCTTCTGATGAAATGTTTTTATAAGTAAAAATAAATTAGTTTTTAATTTCAACAATTATTATAAAATAATTTTTAAATAATAATCTATATTATTATATTAGTAAAATTCTCTATTTATTTACAGTTATTAGTGGCTTCTGAAACTTTCCTATTTTATTAACATAGCCTGGCTTTGTCTGGCTGCTTTTAATGTAAGTTAATTGTTTATTTGCCAGTCTGGTTTACTCATACATATGTAATTCTATCTATATATGTGTATGCATGTGGGACCATCACTCACCTGTCTTGGTCTTGTAGCCGTAAAGTTCCAAAACAGGAAAGCCATCGTTGATAAACCGGTAAATGTGCTGCCACTTGTCATCTTCCTGATTGGACTGCAGCCCAGCCAAATCGGGCAGCACTTTGCTCTCAATCAGCTTGGCATTCTTCAAACTGCCATCAATTTGCCGCTCTGCGATGCTGCTGGCTGTTGTGTCACTGTCAGCAGAAGCTGCTGTTGCTGTTGCCGTTGCAGTTGCCGTCGCAGTTAGCAGCAGCAGCAATAAAAATGTTGCTGCCGGCACTTGCAACATTTTGCGTGACATTCAAGTTTTGTAAGTTGTGTTTTTTTTTGTTTATTTTTGTCTTTGTTGTTGTTAAATGTGTTTTAATTGTTAGCACTTTTCGAGAGATTATTGTTTTGCTTGTCTTGCACTTGCTTTTATTTTGTTGTTCTTCTCTGTTGTTGTTTTATTCAGTTGCTGTTTGTTTTGAGTTTCGTTTTATGGTACCACGATTTTATTCATTTTCGCTTGCAAATTTCTTGCGCAGACACTTTACATAATTGCCAAGAGCTATGCAGAAAGGAGAAGTACATGATTCTATAAGTATGTTTTATAAATGTATTTTTTCTCTCTCAGCGCAAAGCACTTTTGATCAGTTTTCAAAAGTTGTGATTGCGGCTCATTAAAATGCGAGGCATTGACGTTGAAATCGAAGTGTTTTGTATGCAAAACATAAACTTCTAGCTTAACTATATGAACAGAATAGTTTGTGCCGATCACGATTCGATGTGCAGCTATATACACATGTACATATATAGATATGTATATATACATACATATATATTGGTATCTATTGTGACACAGTTACATTGCAGTTTTGACCATATTGGGCAGTTGGCATACTGGAGCCGAAATGCCCCGAAAAAAATTAAGAAACCAGTTTTGGAAATCAATTTTGTGACAGTTTTTCCAGCAACAAAAGTCTCCAGTAACTATGGTTTTTATTTTATTTTTTTCTTTCTTGCAAAAATAGAGCTGGAAATTTTGCGAGGCTTTCGGTTAGTTTATTTGTTATTTTTTGCGTATGCTCACAGCCAAATAGGATAAACAACCATATAATGTGCGACAATTTGTTTATTTGCTGACCTTTGTGCTTAAATCTGATCGCATACAAGGCTGACTGACAGTCAGCTACACAAGCTACACGGATACATCTACAACCATAATACATCTACACGATAGCTAAATGTGAAGAAAGTAAATTAATTTCAATTGAAGTTGACAAACTAAGTGACAAACTACGGCGTAAATAAAACCAAACTGTGACACAAGCACTTGGGCGGCAAACCCAGCGCATATACAGAGCTGATGGAAATCGTATGCAAAGCGCTGATCTAAAGGAAAATTTATTTATATATTCTTCAAATTTTTGTTGTATTTTTGAAGCACTTTAAACATTTTCCAATTTTTATTAAATTTGTTATTCTTTGCTACTTCACAGAATGTTCACCTTTGGCGTCCATTTGGCGAACCGAACCGAACCAATTCCCGTTTCGTACTGCATGTCTGGGCGCGTTTAGCGCTCAACCGGGAGCCCAAAACGGGCTTAGCGCAGACCCAATTGGAAATGGGATGACACACAGTCATGAAACCTGTTTGTCTGGCAATGCCATTTAAAGTGCTTTTATGTATCTGATGCATTAAATATGTTGTTTATATGTGTTTTATATTTATTTATTTTTTGTTTTTTGGTGTTTTGTTTTGTTTAGGTAAATGCAGCTCAGTTTTATTTAAATTTTTTAAAATTATCTTGGTAAGTTTTGTTTCCTTTATTAAATATATAAGTATACATATACAATTTTTAATAATTTTAAATAGTTTTTTATGAGTTTTAAAATTTATTACTATTGTTTTGTATATCTAAATAAATTTTTTACTTTATAGAATATAATTAAATTTCTATTATTTTAGATTAATTTGTACGTAAATAAAAATATTGAAATAAAATGAAGTTCATAGATATTTTTTATTATTTTAATATATTTATTTTTTAATATCTTCGAGTTTAAAAAGAACATAAATTACTTAATGTAATAAAGTTGTTTGTCTTTTTTCTAATGTTTCATAAATTTAAAAAATATATATATATTTTATAACTTTCATGGTAATATTGTATGCCATTCTTATGCAATTAAAATTTGAGAAATTTCAAACAAATTCTCGAATTTCATTTGCATAGTCTTTCAGTGTATGTGCAGATTTTCCACCCGGCATTAATCACTTATCACAAACGCTCATTATTCATGATTATGCTTTGGTTTTTATGTGCAAAATTGTGCAACTGACGTCGCGTCGCGTCGTCCCGCACTAGCATGCCCTGTGCCTGCCCCCTCCCTTTACCCTACATTGTGTGTCTCCCTCTCTGGCGCTGTTCCCATCTCTTGTACTCTCCCGCCCTATGTCTGTCAATTGCTGTGATTGTTGTTGTTGTTGGTGAACGGACAGTGGAATCGACGCCGGTGTCCGGCAATGTGCTGCAGCACAAAAGCAAAAATACTCAGAGAACTCAAACTCGAACTCGTAGATCTGTCGAATTAACATTTTCGGCTTCTTTACTGAATGCCGACCAACTAACTGCCTTATAATGAAAGTCTCGTGCAATGCTATTTATTATTCTCATTTTATTTTTCGCTTGCTCGTTTCGTTTTGATCTTTGTTGGGCATTGGAATTGAAAACTGACTTTAATTGATATTATTGTCAGGCGGATATTTTATTTTTAGTTTACTTTCAATGGGCATGAGCTGCACTTCATATGCATAGTGGGCGTTGATGACTATCTTGATAGATATAAAAACGTTTTATTGCAATTTGTAATGGAAAATATTTGCATATAAAAGAAGATTCGCGATTGTAAAGGGCTATTAATAGAAGTGGGGTATTCTAGAATCGTCGTTTAGAATTAATTGTTCATAAGGCCTATAAATTAAATAAACAAAAAGTTTTTTTAATCAACATCAAATAAATTAATTAAATAATACGAAATTCAGAAAATTACAAGTTAAATATTGATAATAGGAATTAGGAAAAGTACAACAAAATTGAAAACAAATTGGCTTTCTAAATTAAAATAATATAAATGATTTCGGATGCCAAGGTTGAAAATAGTTTTGTCTTAAATAAAAAAAAAAAAAAAAAATTACTTTAAATTTTAGTTGACGATATTAAGTGAAAAGCTTATATATTATGAATTTATATTTTTAATTACTTTAATTGTTGTATAAACTCAAAAGTTTTATCTGATAAAAAAAAAGCAGCTGAAGCAACCTTTAATTTCAACCCGGATCCTCGTGACTTTAAGCATCAATTAATTGATCTAAGTGTATTAATATTTATGACTTTAGTTTCATATCAATCTAACCAATTATAAATAACTATATAGATTATATAAATATGTACAGTTCCGTTCAACTATATTGATTTGAACAATTCTGCATATATATCTTACTCCCTCCGATGCATACACTTGTATGCACATGATTAACCTTTTTGTTGATTCTAAATAGTGAACTGAACTTTAAGCAGTTAGCATATATGCTATAAAAAGCATTAAGCATTCATAGCTGCATTACTTAATGAAAAACTAAAGGTAAGTCTGAAAGCTGAAGCAAATTGTTGTTAATTGTCTAACAGCATTTGCGCAAGCATAAGCGGCAAGTATTTAATTATAATTACTTTCGCGCGGAAAGTTAGCGGTATTTGCTTAACTTTCGTTTAGCACGTTATGTGTGCGAGTGTGCGTGAGTGTGTGTGTACATGTGTGAGCGTGTGTGCTGCACGTATGATTAAAAAATTCTTGTGAAACAATTTTCATGAGTTTAGCGCTGCAAATGCCGGTAAATCAAGGAGAGCACGTACACTCGCACACACACACACTCTCTCCCACACACACACACTTGTTATTAATGTTGAGCTCAGGGAGTGTGTAGGTAGGAAGGGAGCTGCGAGCGCAGCATTTGCCGTGCTGCAAACGGGCACAAAAAACTGCTCAACTGAGCAAAGTATTGTTACATCTCCAATTTGTGTATCGTATGAAAATGGACAACAGCTACATATATAATAGTGCTGCTATAGCTAATGCGCTCACTACTGTTACTACTTTTACTATTACTATTACTACTACTGTTACTACAACTACTACGACTACTACTACTGTTAGAGGGCCGCTACTACAAGCAACAAGAACAACACAACAACAGCAGCAGCCGCAGCGGCTTTACTGCTGCTGCTGCTGCTGCTGCTGCTGCTTTCGCTGCGTTTGTGTATCCAGAGTGCAAACCAATTGAAATTAATTTGCATAATATACTATACGACAGTTAGCTGGGAGATTCAGCAATAGAATTATGAGGCCCAACTGCATACTCTATATAGTGCTTATTCTGTATAATTCACAGTTTATTGCACTTGGCTTCTCTTGCACAATTTTCTCTCGCATTCACATTTCCCTGCCAAATACACACGCACACACACTCACTCACTCACTCACTCACACATAGAATATATGTACAAATGTATTTCATTCAAGTTTTTAGTTGTTGTTCATGCGCATTTGCGGCACCTACGCTTAATTAGATTAATTTTGTTGGACATATATTATTAAAACATTAATTTTTTACGTTTGTTTTATTATTTTGTTGGCTTGATTTTCACTACGCAGAGCCTCGCGCGCCTCCGTCAACAAAATGATTGCGTCTGTTGTGCCGGAAAATTTACGACTTATTGAGAAGCTTTAAGCGTTGCTAGACGCAGTCGTCGACGTTGTCATCAACGGGACTCCTTGACTAGGGTTGCCAGGGTAGCTAACGCCAAAAGAGCTTAGTTTGGTAATGATTGAATATATTTTATTCACATATATATAAACATTTTCAAAAAGAAATTGCTTATTTCATTTATTTATTTGGTTAAATTGTTGTTTATTTTCAGCATATAGGAAATAAGCTTTAAGCTTAGAACGCCGTTAGTCTAGACACATTTAATGTAGTTAGCTTTGACGTGGCGGCGATTTAGTTTAACTAAAGCTTTGTCTTAGTCTGGACAACAACCGGCCAAGTTGCCAGCAGCAAATATATATTTAAATATTACTCATACGCTCCATTTGCATGCCAAATTGTTTCGAAATTCAAGGGACTCTTAAAATACTACGAATTATCGAATGCTTGAAACATTAAAAGTTAAAAATATTAAAGAGATTCTGTAGGGGACTCGTGATAACTTTGAACTAATGAAAGGCTCAAAATATAGCAGGTTTGAAATAACGAGAGGCGATTGTCTGAGTAACAAATTGGACAAACATTTGAGCGAGTGTGGGGACGCAGTGTGAGGGGCAGTGAGAGGTTTAGTGACCTTGAGAGGGTAGTGACCTTGAGGGGGTGGTGACCTTGAGTGACCATGAGTAACCTTGAGTGACCTTGAGTGAACTTGAGGAAGTGGAAAGGCGAGGGAGTGGTCGGGATAGGGAGGGAAGCGAGTGCTGAAGAGAAAGAGGGATCGAGACTAGTTTAATAATTTCTTTATTTGGGGTGGGGGTAAATTACAAAATAAATCGAAATTATATAAAATACGATATGAATATGAATCTACATTGTAAATTTAGAAGCTTTAGCTCTAAATGTGTAGGAGATATAATAATATAACAAATTTTCGATAATGCTTTTGATTGATAACAAAATAAAGGGATGAGTTATCGATTTTTTTTTAGATACACTCGATATCCGCGCTGAATATACGGACATTTAAAGCAAGAAAAGGCTTCAGTCGAGACTGCTCGACTAGGAGATATCCTGAACCTTCTAAGCTGATATTCTACTCACGCATAAGCATGCGCTCTGCTAACTGCGCAGTAAGCAGCGACTGCGCGTTGGCTGCGTTGCAGTGTGGGAAATATTATGAGAGTTTATTAGTTGAATAATTTCTCTTGTAGTAGGACTATCTTAATGAAATTTTCAGAGCATGATCATTATTATATTATATTATTATTATACGTGTACATTCCAAAGCACAAGTCTCTAGTACCTGAAATACGTTTTTTTTAAATTGGGAGCGAAGGGGCGTGGTATAAAAATTCTGTAAATTACAAAATCTTTATATTCATCAAATGTACATACACAGTAAATCTGAAGTCTCCAGGTCTAATGGTGCTCAAATTAGGCTGAAAAGATCAATTTTTTGATTACTCTCGATAAAAATGCATGCCAAATTTCAAGTCTCTAGCCCTTATAACTTCTGAGATCTAGGCGGACGGACGGTTAGACGGACAAGGCTATGTAGATTTTATGGTGTGTGCGATGATTCCTTCTGCCTGTTACATACTTTTCACATGGTATAAAAAAAAAAAAAAAAAAAGTCTCTAGCACTTTTTCTGAGATCGACGCGTTCATACATAGGGACCCTGATTTCCAATTTTCAATGGGCTTAGGATATAATAGAAATTAGTATTTGATATAAGAATAATTTAAAATGATATAATTGTGTATTTAATATAGCAATAATTTAAAAATAAGGAATAATTAAACATGATTACACTCCAGTAAGAAATAAAAACGCTTTAATTTAACATGCTCAACAGTCCTTGAATCAATCAAAGAGTATATAAATATGGCACGCACTATTTATACATACATTGAACAACTTCCTGCTGTACGTGCACAATTGGAAAAAATTCAAATAATTAACACATTAACAATGTGATTTATACACATGCATATCAGTGATAAATTCATAAATACATAATATGCTGGCATCATTGGTAAGCGACACGCGACAATATAAAACAAACCAACTCAATTTATATGCAATTCGCCAACATTAACACAATAAGTAAACAAATATGCCACGTGGCAGCCAATGAAATGCAACACACACTATTCAATGTTAAATTAATTGTTAAGCTATTAAATGCAGCAACAATAAGCGAAAAGAATGATGTAATAAAGCGTAAAGCTATCGAACTGTACGTAATGGAAATTGTGGAGAAATATTCCATATAAAGGTTGTAAATAAATTTTTTAAATTTTTTTATATTTTTTTTTTTTTTAAATATAAATGTTTTTTGCCATTTCTGGCTTGGCTTTGACCACTGGCACAGAGATACATAGGATGAATCTACATAAATATAGTCCAGACTACTTCATTTTAGCCCATTGAAATGCCAAGCAATCAACAGTGTGCACGACAACACTCGACCTCTTGCAAATTGCTATAGAACCAAAAAAGGGGGAAAAAAGCATAGAGAAGAGAAATAACGAAAAATAGTTAAATGACATGAAAGGCCAATGGCCAAACAAAAGTGCAACGAGGTCGGCGCACACAGCAAACTTTGTGGTTAAAACTAAAGTGGCCTGTTAGGCTTTCAGAAAAGTGTCCAAAAACTTTGGGCATAGAAAGAATGCTGCTCATCTGCATTTGGCCACAGTTTTTGGTGTGGTCGCACCCCAAACTCTCACAGTCTCACACTCACTTTATCGTATACCTTTAGAGTCACTATGTGGGTATAATGCTTCTGTGAGAGAATAGCCAACAGGTAGCTGAAAGTATCCAGTTTGATAGACAAAAGAGGAATTAGAATAGGTAGTCTGCTTACCGTAACTTCAAGAAATATTGATTTTGTATAGTTATATAATGTGTATGGCGATAACAGCTCTATACAAAAGGTATACTAACCTGCTCCATACCAGTATTCACGTATCCTTTTCTGGGAGAGTTTCTCTTTCTCTGTGTTCCTTATATCTGTCGTTCTCTGTGTCTTTATTTGTCTATTATCTCTTTCTCTCGCTGCTCCTCTCTGTCTCTGTGTGGCTCACAATCTTATTCTCTCTTCACCGCGTCTTTCTTTACTCTATTTTCTTCTCATATCAATCTCATTGAGAGTATCTATGCAGCCGCTTACTCCCAGAACTCTCACTTGTTTTCAGTGCCACCCCTCACTCTCTCCATTCCCCTTTCCCGCTCTCAGTCTATATTTCTTTTTTGTGTGGCTTTAATATTTCAACACATTTTACATTGCAGTTGCATAGTGAACGTTAGAGTTGCCCCCCAGGACAAATGCCTCACGCTCCAAGTGTCTCTTTTGTGGTAATTTATGCATGTTGTTTGCGTACTGCTGACTTTTTCGGCATTTACTCGTTATAGAATAAATAAAAAATGTCACAAAATGCTTTGACATGCTTGTTACATTTTCAACACACATAAACTACAGTTTTAACAGAATTTTAGAATTTTCGAATTTGTGTTTGGGTACATATTTTAAATGATGGATCTCCATCTTTAGAAAAATTTACATCTGTCAATCCATATATGCTCAGAAGGAAACAATATTATATGCATATATATATATTCCCATATTATACTTAAATGTAGATAACTATACATGCATACATACATAGATACACAGATACATAGATACGTATATACATAGATACATAGATACATAGATACATAGATACATAGATACATAGATACATAGATACATAGATACATAGATACAAAGATACACAGATACATAGATATATGCATTTTTATGTGCATCTTTTAGAAGCATAGACATCTTCTTTATTACTCTTTGAATATTTTGTTTGAATATTTTCTCTTTCACTGGAGATTCTATTCTATCTAGGCTAATTCCCTCTTATATAAGCGCTTGAAAAACTATTTTTCTTAAATTTGAAAACATGTTGGCCGTAATCACTGCAAGAAATACGACAAAAAAATAATTCTGATACAGCCTAAGCCCTCAAATTGTCATCACAATTTGCATTCAAAATGGCTGAAGCATTCTGGCCAGAAAGAGCAGCGCACAAAAGAGACAAAAGGACGTTGTCGGCCTTGAATTTTATTTTTTTTTATTGCACACAATTCTAGATTTTTGGTTAGAGCTCAGTCAGTTGTCAGTTTTAGTGGGGTTGAGCGGCAGCTTATCACAGAATTGGCAGTTGGACTTAATTGAATATTCAAATGCGCCTGTGTGCATATTTAAATGCGACTGGCCCAGAACTGTTTAACTCGCCAAGCCCAACGGAGCCGTCAGTTTGAGTGAAAATGTTGCGATTCATTAAAGTATTTCGCAATGAAATTTTGAAAACTGTTTTAAATTAATTACTCTAATTGAAACAGTGTTGCGGCTTCTGCTGACACTTTTTGCTGGCTGCGAAAAAGTGAAAATGAAAACTAAATTATGCATGGACATAATTCACATTTGATAAATAATAAGAGCTGTGAAGCGCGTTAAAATTGCATATAATTAATGGTTTAATCATTTTCACAGTATATAATATGGATTTTGATTTTGTACTCTGTACATTTAAGCTAAAATTTTAGCTAACATACATACTAATTTCACAATAACATTTTTTGTTTGTTTATAAATGTTATCAAAAGCCAACTTCAACTTCAGTTGACAAAATGTCATACACATGCTATTTCATTTATTTATAAATTTGCACTTATCCAATGTCAAGCAGCTGTCAACGAGCACTCCTCGTTGCCCTCACAATTTGCATTTACAGTTTTGCGATACCCATTCATGAGAGGAGGAGAGTTGATTGGTTCGCTATGCCTTATATATGCATATATACATATATACATGCAAATAAATGTCTTTTATTTGTTCTAGAGCTCTATTAAGTTTCCGCAAAAATTGTGTATATAATCTCACTAGAGCTGCGATAACTAGAACAAAATATATATTGTTCTTCTTCTTGAAATCTAGAAATTTGGTATCACTGACTAAATAAAGAATCCATTTGTAAAAATTATTTTGGAAATAATGCTTCTTTTGGTTTTCATTATAAGCGAGTATTGTGCAGTCAGTCACATCCTGTTCTTACGTATTTCATTTGCTCGTTGCTTCGTTTTTATTTTTATTTTATTTTTGGCCTGCCTGAAAGGCTAAATGAAAAGTGTTTAACTGAGATTTACTTAAGAAAATTCTAAGCAACATTTCCCCAGATAGCAGACAGCAGCCCGCACGAGGCACAAGGCAGAAGGAAAAGTCTGCTGCTGATGCTGCCGTTGCCACTTGCTTCGTGTGTCCTTGCCAAATGTGCAATCCTTGTTTATTTACATACTTTGCCCGCAACCTTTTGTTGTGCAATTGACTATGTCTATAACAATTGTGTTTTATTTAAATAATGAGTAAAACAAAAAACTGTAGAATAATTTAAAACGCCTCGCTTATGCATAATTCAGTACTTTAAATATTTATGACTGGTTCACTATTAAATATTTATGATTGGCTCACCATATGTAGCAAGCTGCAACAATAAATTTAATTTTGCTTAAATACAGCATTTTATGAACAAATATTGTCCAATCGAACAATAAATCATGCAAATATGTCAAGGACACGAATTACAGATACTCTCTAAATAATGTCCAATATCTACGGAAAATACTGTATATATCTACAAGCTGAAATAATTTTAATATCTAGATATTATTTATATACTGTTGTCTTCATAAGTATGAAGAAAAGTTAAGATGGTGTATAAAAATAGCAAACTCTTCTTAAAATATTTTTTGTACGGTATATACTGCATGTATTATTATTTATTATTTTACCAGCTTTTGTTCAAGTAGCTTAGAAATACATGCATGCATAAGAAAATTAAACAATAATTTCTTTAAAAATATGCAAAAAGTACAAAAGCAAACTAAAATTCTCTTCACTCGGGTAAATATTAGGAAAACAATAAATTGAAGAAGAATTAGTAAAATAAAAAAAATAAAAAAATAAAAAAAAAAAAAACGATAAACATAAAACATATTTAAAAGAAGAAAATGAATTCTAAGAATTAACAATAAAGTCGAAATAATATGTTAAGCAGGTTAAGCTTAACTTTCATTATACAGTTCACGAAAGAATTAATTACATTAAAAAAACGCAAATCACAAAATCTCAACTAAAACTTCCGCATGTAATCTTTTCACTTAGAAAAACAGAAGATATTTAAAGCACATTTCGTGTCTCTAGCCCAAAGCGCAAAGCTAGCCAAAAGAAAAGAAATGTATGAAAATGGAATAAAAAAGAGAAGCCACGCCTTTGGCAGGGAAAAAATGGTGATATATCCTTCGTCTTTGCCGTTGTTAACGCAATCGTCATCGCAATCGTCGTCAACAAACGGCATGGACATTAATGCTTAAGCTAAGCGCATTCTCCATTATAATTAAATACGCCACGAACGTAGTCTTGGCCACGAGCCACACACACACACATTCACCCACACACACACACACTCACCCACACACACACACTTTGCATAGTGCACAGTGCAAATAATTAGCCTGGCTCCGAAATTCTGTGAGTAATTAAGGTAAGTCAGCTGTTGGCTTTTGCCCTCATCCACGCAGCTTTTTGCCACCGGAAATTAAAGTTGTTTTACTTTTGTTTCATTTAGACAGATATTAAGGGCTTTGTAAATCTTTAAAGTTCAGTGGCTGAGCAAGTTTCTGCTACACTTTAATATTATCATAAATTAATGGGTGATAAGCGGGCTTTCAAATAGTTTATAATCTGGATTAATTTTTAATTTACAAATTTGGATTTTTGTACAAATTTTCCTATTTTTAAATTGCTACTAAAAATTGTTTTCTCTTGGTAATTTGGTTTTATTATATAAAATGCTTAAAGTTAAAAAAAAAATGTATTTCGGCTGATAAATAAAGAAAAAACAGTTCAAGTTAAGAGTCAATAGAAGTCAATGAAGTTTCTGTTTCCCGAATTGATTTAAAATTGGAAATTCTGGGTCTAATGGCTTTGTGAGGTTGTATCTAACAGTCTTGACTAACTGACTGGATTTTCAATCAATTTTAATTTGAAACAGAAATTTTTGTATAGTTTTTATTAAAGTTGAAACGACAGAATTAAAGCACCTTCAAATTCTCAATTAAAAGAGTTAAAAGAAGAATTAAAAGAAAAAAATGAATAAAAAAAAATAAAAGAAAAATAGAGAATAAATGAAATAGAAAATTATCTAATATTGATGTGAATCAGTCTTCACTCATTCTGCCAAGGATTTGACTATAGACTATGAAATCACAAAGGCTTCGGCAGGAAAGTCTGCCGGCAAGTTCTACGAATAATAATAATACTGTAAGAGTTCCCATTTAGTGTGTGTGTGCTAAGGCTTGGTAGGTGTTAATCAGTAATAATGACAAATAATATATATGACCTTAACTCTGACCCAGTAACAGAGGTACTATTGAATTGAATTGAATTGAGTCATTCAAAATTAACGTTTATACTTGAATCATTGCCACCAAAGAATGAATGATGTGATCTTGCATACATAAACAGTCAGAGAGAGAGAGAGAGAGAGAGAGAGAGAGAGAGAGAGAGAGAGAGAGAGAGAGAGAGAGAGAGAGGGAGAGGGAGAGAGAAAGAGGGAGAGATATATAGACATCAATTTAAAATAAAAGCTTAATCAATTTCCATTATAGCCATTTCATGGATTATGAAAATCTTATATCGATAAAATGCCATTTATATAAACTTAAAGTCCACAGTCGACTTTTCAATAGTATTGAGTTTGAAAAAACTATTATTGCTTTTATCTTTACACTACTCGTAGTAAATAGCTATGATAGTTGAAGTTTAGTGTCAACAAATCTGTCATTGTTCCAATTACATCTCAATGTCGTGGTTTCTCTGCACTGAGAGTTTAACAACTTTTCTTGAAATTCAGGTCGTGCAGAGCACATATATATGGATGCTTTATGATGATGTTAATTGCTTATTGGTCATGAGAAACGTTTTTATTGCACTTAGCAGGCTTGAATATATAGCAAGTTGCCTCAATATTATCTTTAACTTTACAGGAATACTAACAAATATAAATAAAGTAAATAGTAGAAAACAGCTACGCAGCGAAGTCCAATCTTTGATTATTTATTGGAATTTTATTTTTTATTTTAGTTTTTTTTTTTTCAATTTAAAATCTAGTTGCTATCAGTATTAACTATAAAATGCTATAATCAGCAAAAAGTCTTTTCGTATTTTTTTTTTTTTTTTTTTTATGATAATTTTCAAATAACACTTAGGAGCCGAGTAATTTGCTACACAATTCAAAAATTACACACATAGGAATATTCGTTGCATTGACGCTGAGCGTGGGAGCAGTACGTGGCGCTCGTTGAATCACCGCACCTTGATGCTGTTCACTTCAATCCAGATCATCAGCGCCGCAATGACCACATAGGCGCACACAATGAGTAACACCTGCAGTGGACTGGCTGTAAATACCATTACCACCAGCATCACGGTGCCCAGCAGAAAGACGACCGCCAGGAAGATGATCATCATGATGCTGGAAGTGCTGCGAAACCAGGCATTTCGTTTATCCGGCGGCGGCACATTTTTCGGTCTCAGCGGGCTATATTCCTTGTGATATTGTGTCTCGAAGCCGCTGGTAAAGTCGATCTCATCGTGAGCGCCTTGTGGCGCCGTTGCTGTCACCTTCTTCTCGTCCGTGTCCATGCCGTAAGGCGTTCGTATTTTAACTAACGAAAATTCTCTACTGCGACTGTAACGACTGCTGCTGCTGAGCAGTCGCAGTCGCAGTCCCAGTCGCTGCCGAAGTCGCAGTTGTTGTCCGCCTCATTATCACAGCCCAAAGGTGTTAATTGTGGCAACAACAACAGCTACAACAACAGCGCTGACAAATGTGTTCAAATATATGGATTTTTTGTTCTTTCTTTTTTTTTTTTTTTTCTGTGTGTGACTCAGATAAGATAAGACGCTGAGACGACCGAGACAACGATTCAACGACGCTCGACGTTCGATGTTCCACGCTCGAGGTTCTTACAAAAGTGCAACCTTATCAATTATGACTTCAATATATTTCTGACGCTTCAGCAGCTCCCGCCCAACAATAAATATCTAAGTGTACTAATTGGAGCTTTTTTGTTATTATTTATAAACAAAATTGTTGCGTTTTGTTACCCAGTTCGGTTGACTTTCTCGCATTGCTATTTGTTGTTGAAAATACGCTGACTATATTTGCTTTCATCATGAATGAAATCTGCTTTGTGTATTTTCTTTTTTATTTGTTGTTTGAAGGTTTGTCGCATAGACAAATCAATTTTTTTGTGGCGCACCCACGTCGTGGTGGCATATTTAAGGCTAAATGGCGCCAAATCAGTGGAAATGCTTAAAAAGCCTAAAGCTTAAAACTCAAACTGATCTTGGAAGATAAGTTTTGATTAGGTAAGCCAGTAATTAAAATGATTTATTTTCAAGGTTTCCAGTCACAATTATCTATTTGTTATTTAATTAAGCATAGAGTAGTGAATTTTGTGTTAAGTGATTTTCCTGATCGAGCTCAACTGACTACCTAATACTCGTTCAGTGTTTAAGAAAAACTAAAACTCTTTGATTACGATATATTCTATTTACCTTTTATGTGTGTATTGTTGTTAATATTATTTACTTCATATGAAGCTACAACAATGTTATGCCAATTTCTTTTTATACTTTGACATCGTTATATCGCTTATATAATAATAGTTTATAATTTAAATTTTAGGTTCATATATACAAAATATACACATATGTATAATATGTAATATATACAATTATTAGTTCTTCATCTACAAAATTATATTTATATATAAATATTCTCGATTTGCTGGGCTCCTCGCCGCCCTTTATTGAAAATGCTTTAACAAAAGCAAACCTCCTCTTACAAATAAACATCTATTTTTCTAAAAATAACTTATCTCCATTGTGTTGGTCTCCCGCGGCATGGAATTGGAGCGTAGTCCACAAGAGTTCTCATGTTTCTATACTTGAATGTTTAGAGTTTTGTGGATACTTTTCACGGATAAACAAGGGTAGCTACGAATATATATTCTCAATTGTAAGTATGTAGGTTAAATAGTGTTGAAATGATTTTTGTATGCTGACAGCTAACTAATATACCCATTTCATTTTATACAATCATTTGTTTTTTTCGTCAATCGACAGCTTGATATCACTGAACACAAATACAATTATAAGCATTCAAACCAACTATTAGATTTAACGAATTGACAGTGAAAAATATATATCTAATGAAGCAATGACATATCGTTTGTAACAGTAGCCCACTTGAGTTTTGGAAGTACCTAACAAACCAATTTATTGTAATCAATTAAAATCTCAATGAGCCTGAGATAACAGAATTATACATATTATGTGTGTCAAATTGATTGGGGCCTTTAAAGGTTTGCATATATACAAAATATGTATATAATATATAATACAATATATACAAATAAAATAAATAAATACAAAAACATTTTTTTTTAATATCTTAAAGTTTATTAAAGAATTTTTAAAATAATTTTTTTTAAGATATCGTGTAATATACATCTATATTTTTTTCTTATTTATCTTGAAATAATTTAATGTAAAAATGAACTATAACTGTAGCTACAGGGTATATCCACGTCATCATTGTGAACTGCTTTACGTTTGCCTCCATACAGCGATCATTATATTCATACAATACCCTCTGCGCGCGCGCACACACACACACACACACACGTACTCCCTTTCACATACACTCACATTCCTCCACCCTACTTAGTTTGATATACATGCAGTAAATTTTTGTATTTGCGCCGCATAAATATTTGCTGTTGATATTTACGATTGGCTTTATTTTTATTGCCCATTGAAAGTATATAACAATATAGCTGTAAGTGTAAATGCATGTGTAAAATATTTTAATCACCGATTACATATGTTGTTTGTTGTTTGGAATTCAATAAAATAGTGATATTTTTGCATGTTGACTAAATGTTCATAATTCATGTTCTATGTTGACATAGAATATAATTATTAGTAAACTAAAAATGAAATGAATACCAATTATGTATTATGTTATATTTGCATATATATGTGAAATAAATATTTAAAATGGGTTTTTAATTTAGTCATCGACAGGTCACAAATTTCAATTTAATCAGAGGCAGTTAACTGAAATCGAGTCGTCATGGAAATGTTTACGCTGATAAGAATTGCGTTAAGCTAACTTTCAGCTTTATTTTTAAAGCGAACCCCGAACGAATTGGCTATTAAACAGCGTATGATAATGGAAAGTTGAGATGGGTGGAAAATCAAAGTTCATTAAAATACACATGAAACTAAAGAAACTAATTCAATCTGCGCATGCAAAACTCGGAACCACAAACAAAATGTAAAGTGTTACTTTTATATCGACTCTATTCGTTGCCCTGATTAAGAATATATATACATTATGTGGTCTGCCACGCCTCCTTCTGCCTGTTACATACATTCAAGAAAACCATTATGCCCAGATTTCCCATTTTTCAATGGGTTCATGCTACACAAAAAAAAAAAAACTTGAAGAAATCTAAGCTAAAGAATAGAAACATAAAAACCAAATTGTATGTACAATATATCACAGCAGCCGGAAGGCAATGCATAATACATACATTCAATATTTGAATACTTTGTATACATTTTGAACACATCATTTAGAGGGGATAAACTACGGCGGAGTAAAGCAAAAACTGAGAAAAAGATTTCTTGGAATGATATTTGCTGACTTTTGTTTGTTGCCTGCAATTGAAATTGAAACTCAGCGCATTCATAATATATATGTATATTATAATATATATGTATATTAGTGGCAATTGGCGATGTTGGATCAGTTTGCCAGTTGCCTTAAAGCTGATAACAACGCGCCGGAGATTTCGAATTTGTTGCTACAACATGTGGTAGTTGAACAAAAAGAACTATTATTTATTTTTTATTTATTTATTTTTTTTTTTATAAGTGAAAGCCGTGAAATTTTATTGCATAAGACCGCAGAGTATGAGGGGGAGCAGGAGCAGCCCGAGGTGATCATTGATGTTGGCCAGTTGGACGATGATAGTGAGGCGATCTTGCCGCTGACAGAAGATTCAGATGCGAAAAGATTCTACACGTGCAAAGCGAATAACTTCCTCAAGTCGCTAAGCTGGTCCCAGTTGGGCATTCTGTTTTGCGTCTTATACAATTGTTTTATTGTTGTCATATTGCTAATATCGTTCATACACTCCAGGCTAGAAAATTAAATATGCTTACCATTGCACATAATCAGAATTGCATTTTCAAGTGAGTGCGCGGGTCAGCACGAGTTGACCAACAAATCGACAGTCCCTAAACGCATTTCAACTTTATCCTCTGGGCGACTACATGGATCCATTGCTGCCAAACAATTTAAGTTGTTACCAAAGTCATCAGCATTCTGGCTGCGGCTACTACTCGGCAAAAACTTGCCCCTGCTGCATTTTTTGCTTCTGTTTTCTCTTTATTTTATTCTCATACCCTGTAAGTCATGCTAGTGGCATATGGGGTATATGTATTTATGTGTAACTGAGTTGATCAATAATAATTAAAGGTAGGTATTTAAAGTAAGTGAACAGTTTACTAAACAGGTGTTTAGCATGTTTCCTTTGATTATCGATTGTTGCATGTCATCGAGCTATCAAATATCGATCGTTTGTTGCAGAGCATCTGTACGTTGTTCAATCAACTCTTGTGCATTTTTCCAGCTCTTTTCTCAAGTGACAAAACTTCAGCTAGCAATTGCGCATTTTGCATAATACGGAACGAAAGCCCGTGAGACATGGGCCACGGTGCAACGTCCACAGATGCGGAATGATCAAAGCAGGAGTTGTTGCTTTTGAAAGCTGCTTAGCAATTAGACACAACTCAAGCATTTGCTGACATTCAATTCGATTCGCTGGCGGTGCCGGGCAGGGGTGGCTGAAGAAATATATAATATGACCGCGCTTGGCCTGTGCCCTATGAATTATGAGCGAGAGGGAGAGAGCGAGAGTTTTTGGCCTTGCCAGGAAGTTGGCCAGGACGCCGGTAGCTGCAACTGTGCGCCGTATTTCATGGCGGCCTGTCACGGTGGTGGCTGTGCACCGCCCCTCGGCCACAATTCAACGAGCACTTTGCTGCCAACTTTCTTTCTGAGAATTTGTATATTCTTTTTTTTTTTTTTTTTTTTTTTTTATTTTCGGCTTTTGTTTTTTGCTGGGGCCAAAAGTTTTTGGGGCTCGCACTTTTCAATTGTTTTAGGCCCTTATCTAGGTATGAATTTGTTTAGCTGGCTTTGGCTTAAAGCGTTGCAACACATTAATCTTTAAGGCCCATTTTGCGCACCTCTCATTATTCAAATCTAAGACCGTGCTTTAAGCGAAAGTAAAAATCAAGATGAAACTGTAAAATCAAAATTCATGAGGCACTGCGCGAGAATTATAGCGACTTTCCTAAGATGCCCCACCCCATCTCTCTCGCGCTCAAGTTCCGCTCTCTGTCTCTCTCTGTCTCTCGCTCTCTATCAGCCTGCCCAGAATGCGTTTGTTGTTGCAAACTTTTTCCATCAAAAGTTTCGGTTTTCGATACGCTCGCAGCCCCCGCTGCTGCTAGCTGCTGCTAGCTGCTGCTAGCTGCTGCTCTCTGCCTGGCTTTCCTGCCAAGTGCCACTTCCGTTTTGCGTCAGCGCACACGGCTGTGGCTCACAAAAGTGTGACTGAAGTGGTTCAGTCTGCAGCTGCCAGCGCACAGGTGTTAATTAACTGAAGCCGCAACAATCTGCAGCGCGATGCCAGGCACTAAATTTTAAATTGCAATCTGGCCCAAATTACAGGGACTTGCATTTGTACGCATCATGTATTGGCCAAAAGCCGGGCGCTGGGATTATATATTTTATGTTGTCATTTTGTTCCTTTTTTTTTTTTTTTCTCGTTTTTATAGCTTTTTCAAAGTTGGTGCAAACTTTTTAACCTACAACGTGGCAGTGTGAGTAGCTATGCCTTTTTTTTTTTTTGTACCTGTGTGGATGTTTTAGCCACGTTATTATCAGCGTTTATAAAATGTAGAGCGGATAAGTTGCAAACCTGCCAAAATAACAAATCTTGCTTAATCTGTGCAAAGTGTCAGCTGCATACATTTTGCTAAGGTTAGTCAGGGACTAAAAAGCTGGGAAAGAATAGCCAATAGCAGCCTTGGATTAAAAAGTAGTAAAACTAATTAGTCAGTTCATATATTTTCTATGAAAATTAAGAGAGATTTGCTACTAACATTAGTTTAAAAAGCTGTCGCTGAGCTAGAGCATAAACCAATGACAACTGCATCGAATGCTTTGAAATTCAAGCGAGCTGTATTTAGATATAATTTTTAATGCCAACGGCTTCAGCCGCTTCAGTTTAATTTGTGACAGCTGTTAGATATTCTTGAGTATATACATATTTTTTTCAAATTTAATAAATAAATTATTTTTAAAACATTATTTTATTTAATTTTTTTTTTTATCAATATCCATTTGAACCTGATAGCAACAGCATATATTTTCTTTGATTAATTTCCAAAATAAATGGCATACAATTTTATAGATTATATGTTATCCAGCATAACATATTTATTAAGCTATTTATAATCAAGAGCAACAACAAACGTTGCCCAAGCCTAAGTTATTTAAAAAAAATTGCCTGTGGGTAGCTAAATATGTGAAATATTTCCATGCAAATGCCAGGCTCGTACCGTATGCAATTATTTATGAAATGTTAATTAAAATAGGATATGTAGTAGGTCCAAAAAAAATAAGAATTTGAATGTTATTTATGGCCAAGTGATTTGTTGTTGTTGCATTCTAAAATTAATTTCAACATGCAACTGGAACACACACGCTCACACACGCACACAAGTACACATGCAATTTGCAACAACATTGAATCCAATTAATAAATAATGAGTAGGTCTTGTACTCTGACTGGCTCTGGTGCGTTTGACAAGCTGCTGCTCTTGCCAGCAACTTAATGTCCTTCACAGCTGCATAGAGAGAGAGAGAGAGAGAGAGAGAGAGAGAGAGCTGAGCACATCGATGCTTGTTTTCGAGTGAAATTAGTTACGGTGTCGCACAACGATGCTTGGAACTGACGACATCCAGTTCAACCTTCAGTGCCATATGCGTGTGACCAAGTGTAGGCACGCTTGATCTATCATCATTTGTTGGCCATGTCACGGCAGACACTTGGCCCAATTGATTTAGGAGCCTCAAATGAGCTAAGCCGGTTAGCTGGCAGTTAAGCTAAAGGGCGTGTCTAATTAAGGCACAATGAGTAGCTGTGGAGAATTCATCCAAGAGTTTCTTTGACAGGGGCAGTCATCAGCGAGCGGTTAAGTTTCATTAAGAGTTTTGTCTTAACTTGAGGGTTTTACGCTTCATTAGAGCTTTGTATTCAGAGAGATTTCCGATTTGACTCGAATATTAATAATAATCAGCCCAACAACTGCCGAAGCTATTGAAAGAATATATTGATATTGGGATTTATACTGAAATCTATTTGATAGGTTTGACAAATAAAAAGTCAAAATATTGAATTGATTGATAGCTACTATAAAAGTGAATTTCTTTCTCATAAAAATAAACAAATTCTCTATGATGACATTGATTCTGTTAGTAAAAGTTAAAAGATTTTCAAGAGGTTTTCAATATAAATTATAGTCCTCAATTATCGTTTCAATTATATTTTACACTATGAAATATAAAATGATCTATAGAATAATATATGACTAAATGTTTTACAGAATTTTGTTGGGATTCATTTAACAAAAAGAAAGAAAGTTTCTGGTTGAGCGATAAACTTTCTTTATATGCATTATAACTTGCAGTATTTTGTATAATATGGAATATTAAATTAAATTTATATTTGTATATTAGCTTGCTTAGTATGAGGTTATCTTTGAAGATTCGACTTGCTCTGTTAATTTGATATCAATTTTATAACTTTTACTTAGGCAAATTTTTTACCTCAACTAATATTAATATATTGTATCACATTTCTTACCACTTCTCAAAAATCCACATAAAGACCTATGTTATCTCCTGCTTATTTAATGATAACTTATTTTTGCAAGTTATTTACAACAACAAAATGCAATCTATTTATTCTTTCCCACATAATAAATTTGCCCACTTATTCGAATTAGCATTTATCAAACCGACACCTCGACGAACTAATTAAAAACTTGTTTAAATAGAATCGCATTCGAGCTTATTTGTAATTGCATTGGAAAAATAAATACATAAATCAAGCTTAAATTGTAAATATGTGCAGAGCTGCCAAATATTTGAAAGTATTTGCACTAAATAGAAACTGTTTGATTTCTATTTACATATGCACTGTACACACATATTAATAGATGCATTTTGGCAGTAAAATTATATTAAATGAAAACATTTTCAGTAAATGCCATTTAAGTAGATTTCATGTGAAATTATTTCACCCAATCGACTGGCGCTCTACAAATTATATAATTATTTATTAACACCAATGAAATGTTACGAATACGCAATCTGCTTACCATCTCTAATGCCCATCATGCGTAATTAACTTTCAACGATTTATTAAACGGATATATTTTTGTCAGCATTTGAAATTGAGGCTAATTGTCAATTACAGACGACATATTTCTAATTTATAAATTGAATGTTTTGACTAATTGCTCGTCCACTTAAAATTAATTTCCAGCGTATTTTTTGGCAGTTAATTTTTTTGCGGTTGCTGTTCGGGTTGATTAAATTAAAAACAACCAAAGAAAAAAAAAAAATAATAAATAAATAAAATCAGAAATGAAGGAAAACATGAAACAAAAGCCATCATTCGGGTCATTTGGGTCAGCGCTTTCTGTTTTTGGTCTGGGGCTTCGGCCAGCAAATTGATGCGAAAATAAGCGCAAGTGCTGGAATTTAATTAAATGCGTGCATAAATTATGCATTATTATGCCAACTGCACACACACACACACACACACAGTGGTATATGTATATATATGCATATATGTGCCAGCCTCGTAGCCATGGGCATAATTATTGCCAAATATGAATTTCTGTACGCCCCGAAAAAGTAGGCAATGGGCGTGTCTAGCAGCAACAGCAGCAAAGGCAGCAGCAGCTCGTCCTGGTGCTGCTGTCGTCGCTGTCGTAGTGTCCTTGTTCTGCAGCATTATTAATGCAATTGCATTGGTGATAGGCTGTGCTCCACTTGGTCGACATAATTATATCCCACACACGGCCATCATTAC